TATTTATTCAACTCTATAAAGGGTTACAAATTGTTTACAAAATATTACCAGTGTAATAGTGACCAAACATGTTTAGCAGTCACTCAGCAACTGGCATCTTGTACAGACACATTAACAGTATCATCTATTATTTATTTAAGAATACAGACACAGAGACGCCTCAGCAGACAATTTACAGCCAGCAATCATCTCAGAAAAACTAAAATGTTGACTGTTAATATCCATTGCTGGTCAAATAAACTAATTTACAAAGAGATTTTTTAGTCTGGTGATCCAACTGGTTTCATGTTTATAAAAAAAGTATGCTGCCACATTTGGACAGGCTCAATTTATTATTTAATTTTTTTATTGCAGTTTTCATAACGCACTTGTCTATATTCAGATGTGTTAATTACATTTTCCCTTGTCAATGAAAAAAAAAAAATAAATAAAATAAAAAGTACGTAATTGACAAGACATGTCAGTTGTATTCATGTAAATCTAGTACAGGCTATAAGGTATTTTAAGAACAGACAGAGAGAATATTAATATATATATATATATATTATTGCAGTTTTCATAACGCACTTGTAGGTGTCTTGCAAGCAAAACTAAATCTGAAACAAGGGCTCACTAGTCAGAATATTCCTCCGGTGGTCAAAAACAAAGTCTTATGGGAGAAGACGACAAAAACCCTTCAGAACTTTATGTATTTCAGATAGTTCTTAAAGAAATGATGAAACACTTTTCTCCTCCCATCAGCATTCTTCTGAGTTCTGAATAGGCATATTTGCCTCGAGACCGATGTCTTTGTTGGCCAATGGATAGGCCTTTACAGGAAGCAACCAACAGTTGGCCAAGTCCATCCATGAAGAATTCTGAAGAAAGGCAAGGATGACAAGAAATAATGGACCAGAATAAAGGATTTAAGAGATAATGCCATCTGAAGTCCATGAATTTCTCAGGGGTTTTATGAGAAAAGATTTATCTAGGGACTAATTGTATATAATCTATATTGTTTAGTATGTGTGGAATGTTTCTAATTTAGAGCATTTAACAATAGACAAAATTTAGTAAGTACTTACCAGAATGACCCACTCTTTTCAGGTACGGGTCAAAGCCAGCCCTTCTCACTGCACCTGTCCGACCCAAAAAATAATTTACAACTCCATCTACTAGAAATCAGTTTTTAAAGTTTGGAAGTGGCTGATGAAATGTCACCTTCCTCTTCATCTCAGTCATCATACTCAAATTTAAAATAATACTAATCGCCTAAAACCACACCACCAAGCTAGACAGAGTCAAAAAGGGAAAGGATTCTCATCTCAAACAGTAAAAGTTTCATTAATATACTGTACTTTACAAACAGAATTCTTACAATGTCCAGTTCTGGAACCACTTCCATAATCTCTACAAAGCTCTCAATCCGGGTTCCTTTCAAAAATACAAAGTCATCGTCCACCCACAGGAAATATTTAGTGGTGACTTGTGAAACAGCAAGATTCTTCCCTGTAAACCAGCCCTGAAGAAAGCAAATCATCAGCAGCGGAGAACTGAATAGTAATCAGTAGTCACATATCAGCTATCAGCAGGGCAGAAAATAGCAATAAACCACTGTAAATATGAGATCAGTTGAATCAAGGTCTTTTAGAAAATGCAAATCCAGAATATAAAAAGTTTACCTGTGCAGGAGGCATGGTGTAGTGCTCGATGTTTTTTCCAGTTATAGGTTCAGGCTTCATGCTATCATCCGCAATAATTATCTCTGAG